TGACTGCTGGCACGGCCCTGCAGAGGCGCCTGCTGACAGTTCCCTTGAGTTGTTTTCAGCGGCTCCTGCAGTCCTGAAGGTGGGGCGCAGACAAGGCCCGGTCGCCTGGGCCCACCGTCCCCCAAGGGAGAGACATCTTCACAGAGGGAAGCAACTGTTAGGGGGAAAAGGATGTCAACCCGTTTTTATATCGGGGTTGCCCTATCACATAACCACTGTCTGTTTCCCTGCAGAGGGGCACGGGGGGGGGGGGCGGTGGGTCGGGGGGGGGGGGCCGCTTCTGGGTATGTGGCCAGCCTCTCCCCCAGATCCTGTGGTGTGCACCCTGCATGTCTAGGGCGCTCTGGCGGGACTGCCTTGCTCCTGGGTGGGAAACAGAGCAGGTGCTCATGGTGCCCAGCCGAGCAGCAGAGTGTGCGTGCACGTGCGTGTGCACATATGTGCACGTGTGTGTGCACGTGTGATGTGCAGTGTGCGCATTGCATTGTGGTGTGTGCACACGTGTGAGGTGAGCGTGCCTGTGTGGTGTGTGTGCATTGTGTGATTGCACGTGTGTGCGTACATGTCTGTGTGCGTGTGCAGTGTGTGATGGAGAAGGACGAGGCCCCGGGGCACATGGGTGGGTGGGGTGGCGGGAAACCTTCCTGCGAGCAAAGAGCTTGGCAGTGCTTCTCAAACAAGAACAGAGATGGAACCCTGTTGGACTGCTGCTGGGGAACCCCCAGGTCACTTCAGCGGCCACTGTGGAGTGGGGAGCCCTGTTGCAGGAGCAGACCCACGGCCCTGCAGAGGGGTTACCCGCTGTGTGAGCCCCAGGTTGCAGGGAGGCCTGGCAACAGTGCTGCTGTCCTCATGGCATGCAGCCTTCCTGCAGGCAAAGCCCTTGTCCAGGCTCTCTGCGCCCCCAGCCCTCCAGGGCGCCCCACCAGTGCTCGGCCTTCTCGACATCCTGTGGGCTCTTGCAAAATCCCCTCACACGCGAAGCCACGCCAGACCAGGCCTCCCAGGCCCTGGCCTCCGGCGGCTTCCTGCGCCCGGAGCTGGCTCCTCCTCCGCACCCGCGTCTAAGGGCACACCCTGCACGCCCGCCAGCTGCTGCCCGCCCTGCTGTCCCTGAGCCCTGGGCCTCAGGCGTCATCACCTGGCGGAGGGAGGACCTCGTGACTCACGAGCCCCAACCTCGGAGAGTGCAAAGAGCAGGAGGATGGGGAGGGTGGGGAGTTGCTGGGGGGGGCGGGGGAGTGGGATGGGCCCCAGCTGCCTGGGGTGCACCTCGGTGGTCACGCCCACTGCCCAGAGGTTTCAGGACTGGAGGAGACAGCAAGGGCCTTGGGGCGGCCGCGAGGGCCCTGCTGACCATGACGACTCAGCTGTGAAGGGGCTTCCCAAAAAGTACATAGTGACCAGGAGGCTCCCCCAGACCTTGGATGTCCCAAGCCCAGCCCTAACTGGCCCTGGGGCTGCCTCCTCAGTGGACCCCCTGTGCTGCGTGACTCTCAAGGGGCCCCCAGAGGGAGTTCCCCGGGCTGGGTCGCAGGCACAGGCCCGTGGGGAGCATGTGGTCAGGCCCAGGGCAGCAGGCACGGCCTGGCTTGTGACTGCCGACCCGGAAGGGCCCGGCCCCTGCCCGTGACAGCCTGGCCCAGGCGCCTTCACCTGCTGACCCTCCAGGAGGTGCCTTCCTGCTGGCTCTGGACTCAGTCGCACCTCCCAGAAAAAGCAAACAAACTCCACCCTCAAACTCAGCCCAGCCCTGGGCTGCTGACTGCCTCCTGGGGTTCCTCTGGGCCCCGCGCCCTTCCTCAGCCTCGAGGCAGGCGGATCCTTCCACGGAGACCTGGGCTGCCACCCAAACCCAGCACTGTGTGGACAGGGTTCCCGGGTTCTTGGAATGGCACGAAGTTCTAAGTGTTTCCATAATCATCATAGTTTTAATTAAGATAATAGCTACTGACTACTCAGCACCTCAATGAGCCAGCACTGAGTGAGCTGCCTGGCGTGGGGCCTCAGCCTCCATGCTGGCCTCAGCATCCACTCCGGGGCAACAGCTGGGGGTCTGGGGTGAGGACTCAGGCCCGCGGTGGTGGCTGCTCCGCTGGCCTCCCTGCGACCCTCCCGTCAGCCGCCCCCCAGCCTGGAGGCCCGGCGCCCTGCGCCACCCCTGCCCCGAGCTGAAAAGAGCTCCTTGCAATGACCTGGAGGCTGGGTCCGCGGTTCTTCTGGGGTTTGGGTTTTGCTGGTTTCGAGGACGCTTCTCAACACTCACGGGGCGCCGCTTCATTGGGCACTACTGAGGGGCCGGCGAGGCATCCCTGGGTCACTGCTCACGGCTGCAAACCCTCAGCCTCCTGCGCCTATATCCCTCTTTCTGCCCCCACCAGTCTGTCCGGGGGCCCCTGCAGGAGAACTGGGGTTCCCGCGCAGCCTTCTGGTGTGGGGTTCCAGCGCCCCCTCCAGACACCCGAGCCAGTCCAAGCACCGCCCTCTCTCTCCCCGGAGTCCCATGTCCTTCCGAGCAGCCACACGCCTGCCGCACCTGTGGGCCACTTGGCTCCAACGTCATCAGCCCCAGGAACGCCGCATCTTCAGCCCTGCTCGGCCTTCCCGCCCCCTGCTCCCCGGAGCCCGAGACAGGGGACCCGGCCTGCGCCCTCCCCTCCCTGTGCCTCCGCCACGGTCCTGGGGCCACTGCCATTGCCGACGTCACGCGTGCGGGTTCCTCACCTCAGGTCTCCACTCCCTGACTCTGCCTTCGCTGCCTCGACAGAGCCTTCTTATTTTTTCATATTTTTTCATAAAAATAAAGTTTTTCTCCCCAAGAATTCTTTTTGGGGTGCCCATGGCTCATTTCTTTCAACACTAAAAGCTCTGGCCCTCCGAACAGTAGTTCTGGGGTGTCCCAGAGTTGCAGATGTGGGCGCCATGTCAGGCCCCCTCGCTGCTGTGCTCTGGGCCTCCCCCCGGGACCCCGTGCCTAGGCACGTTCACAAGGAAAGCTCAGAGGGTGAGCTCGGGCGGCTGGTGTGGGCCCCTCCGCCAGTGGGGGGTGTGGGGAGACAGCAGAGAGAGGAGTTGGGGTGGGGGTGGCGGCCTCCAGCCTGGCAGGCGGCTCTGGGCCCCCGGATCTGGGCCAAGGCTGAAGGTCACTGGCTGGGAGGGTCGGGATTCCTCAGATTTCACTGTGTCCTCCCACTGGTCTCCCACCGCCCCCAGCCTCTCTACTGCTGGAATTTGGGGGTGGGCAGCCTGAGGGATCAAGGGGAGATTCCAGAAAGGTTCATGTGGGGCCCTCACTGCTGCCTGGTTCCCCCCAACCCTGGCCGCCAAGGGGATCCTGTGCGGTCCCCTCCAGGTCGCTGCTGCTTGCCCTGGTCCTGCCAGGCCTGATGCCCCCTCGAGCTGGCAGGCAGAGGTCACCACGGCCCAGGCTGGCCTTCCCGAAGGAGGCCCCGCAGGTGGCTCCTCTCCTGAGGCCCACGCCCTCCACCCCATCCAGCCGGACCTAAGCCACCTTCAAGGATGGGGGCCCACCTCGTGCCCTGAGCTTGGAGGAGAAGGGGTTCCGTGCCCTGAGCTGAGGGAGGGAGCGCTGAGGCCTGAGCCTGGGGCTTCTGGTGTCCGGCACCCACCTCTCTCCTCTCAGAGAGCCGAAGCAGACCCAGAGGGGGAGCTGCAGCCCCAGGGAGCTCTGGAATCTGCCGGGAGGGCATGAAATCCCGGGCCAGCTGCCCACACCCCCACCCCCATCTGCTTTTTCTCCTGCCCTTTCTTCGCCATTGTTCCTCCCCCTCCCTCCCTTCTTCACTCTCTCTCTTCTCCCCCAACAGACTCCTCCTCCCCACAGAGGACAGCCGTGCCCGGGGGGCCATGTGACAAGCCCGTGTGATGGAGGCTTTTACAGGCTGCTCTCGAATTTCCCCCTTCCGGACTCTGGGCTCGGCAGAGGGGGTGACCCAGTCGGCCCAGCACGTGGCGGGGACCATCCTGGGCGCTGAGGGCAGCACCACGAGCCTCCGCCCTCCCACCCTGCAGCGCACGAACCCGGAGCCCCAGGGAGCAGCGGGGCCTGGGGGGCCGGCGTGGGTGCTCACCATCAGCTCCAGAGCGAGAAGCGCAGCGTCCTGTGTGCCCGGGAAGGCAGAGGGCGCGTCCTGGGTGGGGGGCGGGGGCGTGCAGAGGCGGCCTGGAGCCCAGGCCCCGAGGCCCCGGGTATTCCCAGCCACAGGGGCCAGTCCCAGCACCCGGGCAAGGATTTCAGGGAAGGGACTTAGCTGGGGAAGATGAGCTGGTGAGGGGCTCCCGCCCAGAGGCGTTCCCGGGGTGGCTCTGTCTCTCTGCCTGCAGTGACAGAGACGTCCAGCCCCCCAGGAAGCAGCTGCGGGCCAGGAGGTGACGCTCACATGTCACGCGGCTCTTTCCCAGCTGGGCTTCGCTTTCTTCTTACGTATTCTCCCACCACCGTCCCCCTTCGGCCTGTCCCATCCTCCACGCGCTCAGCCTGGGGAACCTCACCGCCCTCACCAACGTCCACCGCTTTTATTAGGATTTTCCTCAGTCGGACGGTCGGCTGAGTCAACGTTCAATATTTGTCTTCGTCGTTCTGAATTGCTTTACAGCACACAATCTCCTCCACCTCCCTCCATCTCGCTGCAGATGATATTGCACCTTCCCCGCTGCTGACGGCGACCCCGAGGCCTGGACGGACCACGCCCGCCTGACCAGGCCTCCCACGGGCGCCGAGGCTGCTGCCACGTCTGACTGTGCGGGGAGCGGAGCCGCCAGGCCGGAGCAGCGCTTGCCACGCGGACGCCTCCACGGCTCTGAGCAGTGGGTGTGCCCGGGGGCGGCGTGGCTGGGCCAAGGCGTGTTTCCATTTTCTGTGTTGTAAGGTGAATCCACTGGCTTTCCAGCAGGCCCGCCCGGGCGCACCCGCCAGCAGCGTCCTGGGCTCTCTCTCGCCAGCCGCCCTCGATGGCGCTGCAGCATGAGCCCTCCTCACGGCTGCGGACGCAGACTGGGGGTCCAACCTGCGGCTCCTTTCTTACAGGCGACGGTACGCCTTTCCCAGGGTTTTGTTTTCTCATCTGAGTGTTCAGGCAACCAGACGTCCCTGTGTGAACACGCACGAGAGCTGAGAGACACCGGTACGGCGTCCCCCAGATGCCCCCTCAGCCGCCCTCTGCTCACCTAGTGTCCAGGTCCTTGTCCTTCCACACAGATACTCTTCGAGCACCAGGTCTGAGTTTCCTGAGTTTTCCTTCTCTGCAACAAACGGCTGCACAGAGTGGCGGGCATCAACAGGAGCGGGCCTCCCTCACCCCAAGGCTCATAGGTCTGGCTGGGCCTCGTGGGCCGATGTTACAGTGGCGGGCTGGCCTCCGCTGGCCTTCCGCCCGCGGCCTGTGGCCCTGCAGCTGCCTGACCATGTCCCTGCTCCCTCAGCCACAGCAGGGAGGGGAGCTCCGGGCTTTAGGCTACAGTTGATTAGACTGGGCCTCCGTGCCTAGCCCAACAGAAGCCTGTCCCAGGGCTTTAACCACACCCACGAATTCCCTTTGCCGTATAAGATGAATGCTCACAGCATTGAGACCTCTGGGGCACCCCCTTGCATGCCTCGACGGTTTCTTGCTGTCATCTCCAGCATGCACCGGCCCTGACACCTCCCTGCAGACCCCACCCCGGCATTCCCGACGTGGCCCAGAACCACCACTATCCACAGCTCCCCAGTCTCAAGCCAATCAGATGGTCTGACTGGGACCAGAACCAGGGACAGCAAGCAACACAGGCCTGCGCCCGGGCCGCGTCTGTGCCCGGCTCTGAAGCAGTCACAATGTGAACAAGTAGAATCCAGGGACTCTGGACTCCAGCTACATCCTAACAAGGAGCCTCCTACGAGTGGACAAGCAGCTGATGCTGACCGTCCACCCGGCCTCTGTCCCTCTCGTTGTCTCCTGAGTGGCACTTCGTTCGGGAGAAGAGCCAGTCAAGCTCTGCGCACTGGCAGGCTCTGGGCTCTTTCCTCACACAGCAGGAGGCTTTCTTCTGTAAAAGGTTGAGGGTAAATATTCTAGGTTGTGAGGGCTGTGCGGTTGCCGTGGCAACCACTTACACAGATGGGTCTGGTTGTTGTCTCAATAAAACTTTATTGACAAAAACAAGAGGGAGGCCAGATTGGGCTCCCAGAACTGGTTTGTACGCCTGCAACGTGACGGTCTTCTCGGATTCCGCTTTGAGATTTTTGCAAGGATGTCTGCCCGTAGCCCGCGGGCTTCTGCCAGGAGGCTCAGAACATTGGGTGGACGGTCTGGGTGTGGTGACATCAGCCCTGTACACCCAGGCCCGGCCTCTCCAAGCAGCACTGTCCCCCTTCTCAGCGTCCCTTCCTCATTCACCAGCTGGAACACTCTAAGAGAAATTTTCCTTCCTCCAGTGTCTGGTTACATGGATGCAGAGCTGTGCAGGAAATGCCAGATAATACGTTTTGATTCTTTGTCTTTCTCTGCCAGATTTCCAAAATGATGAGTTGGGCTCCTCAGCTTTCTTCAAAGATAATCGATGTAGTTTTAAAAGAACATGATGAGCAAATAGGCTGCCACATAACCCGAGCTTTTGAGCTGCGCAGTTACTGCTGCTCCTGATGTTTGAACTGCCTCAGCCCCCTCAGCTTTTGATGGAACCCTGGGAGCCGAGAACATTCTCTCACTCCTGAGTCACAGGTGGGCGCAGGGGATCTTGCTGCCCCCGACCTGGAGCCGGCCTTCTCAGAATGCTGGTGCTCTTTAGAGTTCTTGGGGCACAGGGAAAGCACCCCAGTTCTTCTCCAGCCGGATGAGTCATCAAACAGCCTCAGACAGGTGCACAAAGGAAAAACAATCAACTTAATAACAACGGGTGGAAAATTCACGTGCTTGCAGACTCTGGAGAACAATGGGCTGGACCAGGGACATTCGCCCTGAGTTTGGGTATCTGGAGCCTCAAGGAGAGAAGGGGGGCTCCACATGACAAGGAGGGGTGACCTTACTCAGAGTACAGGCGAGATGCCCAGATGGAGGGGATGTGCTCGCTGATAAGCCTGCACCTGCATGACACCCCCACAGTCTTCTAGGTCATAAAGGAGGGGCTGGGGCTGCATCTCTCAGCCCCTGGGGCCTTCGCTGTGCTGTTCCTGCTCCGGGCTTAACCAGCACCACCCAAGTCACTGTTGGAGGCTGGGGGAGGGAGAGGCAGCCCTGCCCTCTGGCCCTCCAGGCCAAGGGGACAGTCAGCAGAAGAACATACTGAGGAAGCCCATCTGACTCCCTGGGAGACGCTCGCTGCCAGGGAAGTGGCAGAGGGGGACCCTCGCCGGGCACCAGGGCGCACCTTGCTTGTCGGTCTTTCCAGGGGACGAGGCAAGAGGCTGTCTTCTCCTGGAAGCTGTCAAGCACCCACTGGAATCTCCAAACTAAATCAGCCAGAGGCGACGGGGCAGCTTCAACCAGACACCTCATCTCCCTCCTCCGCCTCCAACCCCTGATCCTCCCAGGGGAGGTGCTCAAACCAGACATTCCGGAGCCCTCCCCAAACCAGCTGAGCGGGAACCTCCAGGGAAGGGGTTCCCGCGAGTCCCCACCCTCAGGTGGCTCTGAAGGGCCAGGTTTAAAAGCCAGGCTGGCTGCCCCTGGCGTCTGGAGCTGCGGAGAGGAAATGGACGCTCGTCCACACGGGAGGGCGGCCGTGAGCGGAGTCTTGGAGGGTGAGGAGCTGGCGTTGAGATCGGAGCTCAGTGTTTTCCAGAAGTGTGGCTGAAATGGGAGGGAGGTATGGGGCAGTGGCCTGGAGAGGGAGGCCCAAGACAGATTTAAGGACATACAACGTGGCTGGAAGTTGCTGAGAAGGCGCCAGGAGGCAGGCAGAGCATCAAACTGCAGAGGAAGGAAGAGCTGGAGAAGCTTCCAGGGCTGCAGGAGGCTGGGCCGGCTAGTCGGCCACAGACAGAGAGAGGGGGCCCTCACCCCTCTGCAGAGTCTCAGGGCGAGCACCAGATCTGACTGCACCTTCCCTGCCCTCCCTGGCCCAGCGCCGGTACACGGGACTGGCTGCATTTTGAAAAGGTTTAAGACTCACACGTAGAACCCAAAAGTAAGTGCAAAACAGTGTGGGCGGATCCTTTCAGGGGTCCTTTAGCTCAAAACTATTTTTATGATAATACCACGGTGCTATTTGCTTTTTTCACTCTCATTTTCTCTTGTGTGTTGGGTAGAATTTCCCGAAGCTTCCTCTACATCAGAAGCAGATAGGAGAGCTGCCTTCTATTCAACTGCCTTCCATTAAGCCAGATAAAGAGGTTTGCAAATATTATTTTGAGGTAGATAGTTTTCATGAAAAATTTATGCTGTTGCATAATAGGCTTATTTATTATTTTTCAATTATTATATAGTATTGAAATGTCTCCGTTTTAATTCCTCAATCGCTAACTCTCGATAGGTATGAGACACATAAACGAAAGCTCTCTGGGGTCCTCGATAAATTTTAAGATTATAAAAAGGGACCAAACAGCTTGAGCACTGCAGGTGCGGACGGCGAGCTCAGGGCCGGAGCAGGAGCCAGGCCCACGCTGCTCTGCGGCCTGGCTGGAGGCCTCGGTGACCTCCTGGCTGGAAGGCAGCCCCTCTGCACCTTCTGCCGTGGGGCCAGCAGGGCCAGCGCAGCCGCAGCCGCTGAGTTTCCTCTCTGCGAGGCCAGCTGTTGGCTTTGGGTTCCCTGAGGGCCTGAGGAAGAGGGTGAGGGGGAGAGGCCAGGGCGAAGGAAAGATGGGGAGGGCTGGGGGGGCTGGAGAGTCAGGAGTGAAGGCTCTGAAAGGGATCTGGCCCTCCGCGCACAGCGGCAAACAAAGCAGACTCTTAGGGTGAAAGATTTTTAATAGAATTAGTGTGTATGGGGGGCGGGGAGAGATTCCTCATCAAGTTCCCCAAAACGCCCATCTCCTGTGGGCAAAGGCCAGCCAGCCAGGTTCCCCCCAAAGCTGGCCACTAAGCCCGTAGCTCACCACAAGCCTCAGGTGCCTCCCGGCAAGGAGCCACGCGCAGAGGGCTCGGCAGGTCCCCGAGAGCCGGGACAGAAGGGGAAACCCAAAATGCAGCAGGTAATCCAGCGCGAGGCCAAGGTGACGGCTGCCGCCCTCTCTGCCACCGCCACGAGCCACGTGCCCACGCGCCTCTCCTCTGCGTGCCTCCTCCAAGTCCTGGGGCACAGGAAAGCTGGGGAAGCAAGAGAAGGCGCCTGCCCACCTCACCCGTGACGTGGGCCCAACCACCCCTCAGCTCCGCTCCCCGCTCTCAGCAGCTCCCCCACTCAGGAAGCCTGGCTCACAGCTCGCTGGGACCTGTGACCCCAGGGGGCTGCACGGAAGTGGGGGCGAGGAACGGAACCTATCTAACAGGGGGAGGTGAGAGGGGGCAGGAGAGGAAAGGGAAGCAGAAGAGGAGAAAGGACAAAGGACGGGCGGAAGCGGGGGGCTCTGGAGGGGGCAGCTATGGGGGCAATGAGGGAGCAGGGCCAGTCTGAAGAGGATATGGGGGTGCTGTCAGGGAGCGAGGGGTTCACTTTCTCCGCCATCTTCCCCTGCATTGTTCGCCAATACTCTCAGTGGCTTGTTCCTAGGGGAAGCCCCCAGGAGGACTGTACAGGGTGAATTCAATGAAAACACATGGAAGATGAAACTGTCCCCCAAACCCAGCCAGCGCCTGGCCGCGGGTGGATCAAGCACCTGAGACCATCCCTAAAGCCAGAGCCGCCGAGGCGCCAGCTCAGTGCCCTCTCCATGAAAACCCCGGTGGCCACAGTGGCTGCATCTGTTCCCCCACAAACCCAAGCGGCCCTCTTCAGAAGAAAACCTCCCAGATCCTCAGAGTCGGGGAGCTGCATGAAGGACGAACTTAATTAGACTTGATTTCTAAAAATGTCCCGTGTGGTTTTTAATTATTAGAGCAAATGTCTGCAGTGTTGAACTTACATGCCACACCGCCCCTCCACCCCGTCCTTAATAAAGCGCAGGTGCTTTCCGCAAGGTTACGGGCCTCTGCGAGCTGTCTCACTATCTTCCTGAGCCCCTCAAGACTGGACACCGAGGAGTATAAATAACCCTATTTTCAAATTACACTTCCTCCGCAACCTTGAATTCCAAATGTGCATGTATGAATGTAATAGCCCTGGAGTAACTATGCAGATTTACGAGGAATCTCAATGTCGGTTCCATTAGGGGACCCAACTAGGCCTTTCTTTGTGTGGCTGGGGATGTGCCAAAGTTGGGGCGCAAGGGGGGGGGGCTGTGAGTTATGGTTAAAGTCATCTGTACATCAGGGCAGCGCGGTTGGGGCGCCCTGACAGAGGGGCCCTTGCAGACTAGACCCCACCCGAAGGGGCAGACGGGGATGAAAACCAAAGCTCAGCAGAGGGACGTGGTGACTGCGCGGGGGGCAGCTGTGCTCGGCCTCCCCGCTGCTCCGAGCCGGGCTTGTTTGTTCCACGAAGCAGCCAACGTGACGCAGCTGGAGGGGGCAGAAAGATGTTTCCACTCCTTGCTTCGGCAGAAATCGATGGGCTTTGCCTTCTGTGATTGTTCCCCCTGCGTTTGGCACCTGAAATAAAATAACCCTCTCCCTGGCTCTGCGGAGCGCGCGTGTGCGCGGGTGTCTCGGGCTGAACGAGCCTTAATTAGATAAGCAGCGAGCGGGGCGCGGGGCGGAGGGTTGGGGGGCAGGGCCAGCGCGAGGACCGCAGCCCCGAGCTTGGATGGTGGCGACAGCAACTTGGGGAGTCCCGCCCGCGGCAGACCGGATGAGGGGACAATTCTGGCAGCTTCACATCCTCACGACCTACGACCTTGGGGCGAAGGTCAGGCACCTCCCCGGCCCAGAAGGTGGGCGCAAGGGCAGAACCGAGGCTCGGGGGGCCGCAGCCCAGCACCCCCCCGACGCGACCCCCACCCCGATTTCCAGGGCGAGGTCTCCAAGGCTCTGAGTCCTCGCCCACACTCCTGCACCCCTGACCCTCCGGCCTCCACCCGGGCTCCCTCAAAGCCACTCCTTCGCCCAAGTGCGGGTGAAAAGGGGGCGCAGACACAGCCGGGAGGCGCCCGCGGGGCCACGAGGCGGCCGAGCGCGGCGGGGATGCGCTTGGCGAGCCCGGGCGCAGCCGCCGTGACTCCCGGGGATGCGCGCGGCCCCTTCGCGCTCCCTCGGTTTCCTCTCCGACCCCCGCGTCGCCAGGGCGCACCCCGCTGCTGCGCGGTCAGGGGGCCCCCCAGGGCGTCCTCGCGCGCGGAGTCTGGGGGCCCCTCCCGGCCCTCGCTGCCCCTTTAAGGGTTCCCGAAACTTTCCCCCCGGGTAGCGGAGGAGCCTCGTCACATCCGCTCCGCGGCCGGCGCGCTCCGAGGAAACGGGGGACTCGAGTTTCCCGGCGGAGGCGCGGCCGGGGCGAGCGGGCTGAGCGGGGCGCCCCGGGCGCACCCCGCGGACCCCAGCGCGCTCGGGCCGCGGCCGCGGGGCGGCGGGGCGGGGCAGCGGCCCAGGCCGGAGGGGCCGGGGCGCCAACTTGCCCAACTCGGCGGCGCGGGCTGGGGCGGCCCCCGCGCCCCTCCCCGCCCGGCGCCTCCCCCGGCCCTCCCCGCCCGCCGCCCGCCCGGCGCGCGCCCGCCCTGCCCCGCCGCCCTGCCCGGCCCGCCCAGCCCGCCCAGCCCAGCCCCGCCGGCCCTGCCCAGCCCCGCCGGCCCTGCCCAGCCCCGCCGGCCCTGCCCAGCCCCCGCCCGCAGCCCGCAGCCCCGCGCGCCGCGGAGTCGCCAGGCGCCGCCGGACGGGACGGGACGGGTCGGAACCGGCGCGCCCCCCGGGCCGGGTCGCGGGCATGGACGCGCTGGCCCGGGCGCTGCTGCTGCCGCTGCTGGCCCAGTGGGTCCTGCGCGCGGCGCCGGCGCTGGCCCCCGCGCCCTTCGCGCTGCCCCTCCGGGTGGCCGCGGCCGCCAGCCGCGGAGCCGCGTCTCCTCCCGGGCCCGGGGCCCCCGATGCGCCCCGCGCCGCGCCGCGCGCCGACGGCCTGGCGCTCGCCTTGGAGCCCGCGGGGGGCTCGGTCAACTTCCTGGCCATGGTGGACAACCTGCAGGGCGACTCCGGCCGCGGCTACTACCTGGAGATGCTGATCGGGACGCCCCCGCAGAAGGTAGGTCGGGGCGCCCGAGCCCCGCCGCCGCCCGCGCCCCCGGCTCCGGCCGCGGGCACCCCGGGGGCTCCCGGGGGCGCCTCGCGAGGTCCCCGCGCGCTGGGCGTCGCCCCCGAAGCGGCCGCTGTCCCGATCCGGGAGAGCAGATCCGGGGTGCCAGGGCTCCGCCGGGTGCGCGCGGGGACGCGGGGGAGGCCGCGAGTGTGGCCACGGGCCCGCGTGGCCGGGCGCGCGAGACCGTAACTTGCGGCGGAGGAGACGCCCCTCTGCGCCCCGCGCCCCGCGAGGACCGGCGCCCTGGGCCCGCGCGGCTGATGACTGGGGTGACTTTGGGTAAATGGTCCCCACACCCCGCGCTTCTCAAGGCCAAGGGTCCGGGGCCCGGGACTCCCGCGGGCAGGTCCTGGGAGGGTCCGGGGCGCCCAGCCCGCAGCCCTGCCCGCCGGGCTCCCCACCTGCGCGCTGCCCCTGCGCAGCCCCGCGCGTGGCTCCCCTCGCCGCCCGCTGCGCCCCAGGCGCCCCCACGTGCTGTGCGCCAAGTATTCCCGGCCACAGCTCCTGGGAGAATCTGGGCCGAGCCAGGCCGCCGGGGGCCGCGTCTGCCTTTTTGCTCCTGTCTCAGCTTCATTTATTGGCACATTTTGGAGCAAGAAACCCATGTCCCCAAGCCCCGCGCTCTTAAGGAAAAATCACAACACACCCAGGAGCGTGCGGCTCCCTCTTTCCAGAGGACCTAAGCCCTGGCCCTCGTGTGGTTTGCAGCCAAGTTTTCTCACCCATCGGCTGCAGTGACTGGAGATACTTTACTTGTACTTTCCACCTTATCGTCTGGGTTTTAATGAAGCTGAGCTTCCTGCAGAAATAGAACATCTCATGACTTTGGTGTAAATCTAATTAAATTATTCAAGACTTTCTTAAGACGTGCCTGCTAATTATTTTTTTAAAAAAAGGTCCTGCCAAATACCTTCTACGGTTGTTTAATTAGTTAAAAGAAAAAAATAAATAAATAAGCCACGCGCTCCAAGGATGCCCCCTGCTCCAAACTTGGATTCTAGCTGCCTTGCATCTTATCCGTGCCCGGCCCCCAGCGGGTCATGGGGAGCTCCCCCCACCCAGAGGCAGTGTCAGCTGAGAGAGCTTAACCTCACCCCAAGAGTTTGGTGCCGCCGAAGCCACCACGTGCATCCCCGAGCTGGGGACCGCCTGGCCTGTCTTTCCCAAGGTGTCACGAGACAGGAGGTTGAAGTTCTTTTGTGGCCTGCGGCTAATCTTCTGGAAGGAGCCCTGAGTGACTCTCCCTTTAGCTTGCACCTGCCTGAAAAAAACCCACGTTGATTTTTGCGTGGAAGAGGGTGCTCGCTATGGTCAGCGCTGTCCATGGGGCAGTTGGGGTGCTGAGACAAAGGAGCCCCAGATTCCGAGGAGAGGGGGGAGGAGAAGAAGCCTCAAAAAAGAAAATATTTCTCTTGGGCTCTCGGAAGAGGGAAGCTTTCATCTGTAACAGAGTGTCTTTATGTTGTTTTAAAGTTGTTTTGCTGAAGTTGGGAAACTCCGAAGGGACGAAGCACGCGGCGGGGTCGACGGGGTGCTGCGTCGGCTTGTCGTTACTAGTTAAGCCCATGACCTTTAAATCATGACGTCAAATGAGCAGGATGCGGAGGGTGCCCCTGCCTGGCTTTACCTTGAGGAGGACGGAATCGCCTGAGGTTATCGCGCAGTTGGACCCGAGCGTGTTTCCAGGGAGGGCTGCATGTTCACAGCCCGGGTTTTTACACTGGTTCGGGTCATCAGATATTCTGGGGTCTCCATCCTGGCCTGATTTAGTCGTGAACACATTTACAGCAAAATGTCTGTCTTTAGCAGGCCTGTGGCGAAATGATGTTCCCAAATGCCTGCTGCGGGCGCCAGTGCTGGGTGCCCCCATGGCTGCCCACCTGAAGTGTCCCTGACCACCCGCGGGGGTTTCCGGGAGGCTTGGGGGGTAGAGTGGGCAGTCCAGAACTCGGTGAGTTCCTGCCCTGTTAATGTCGGGAGTCAGGCATTTAGTCTCTGCTGATCCTCCAGCGCCTAAAATAAAAACTGCTTAGGTGGAGAGAAAAATGGAATTGTAAATCCAAGCACTAAATAGCCAAGACTTCTTCAAGAATGAAGTAATTACCATGGCCCGTGTCGCGGCGCCTGGCGGCCAGCGCCGGCCCGGCTGCTCTCCCCGGTCCTCACCACATCTCGTGGTTCTTATCCCCACTTAGGGGATGGGAAAAGTGAATTGGGGCGGGGGGGGGGGGTGGGCTTCGATGGCTTTCCCGGGACACAGGACAGGAGAGAAAGAGCCAGAAGTGCAGCCCGAGGCCCTGGCGTGCGGACCCCCCACCCCCGGCAGGTGCCGCTCCCTACCCATCCTGCCTCCTCCCTTCCTTGGGGGCTCAAACTACCTTTTCCTGCCAGAGATGCCTGAACCTTACTCCCTGGGGCACTAGGGACTTCTGTGCCTGCGAAACTGGACTCTCCACCCCTGTGGCCTCCGCTCTGCTCCCTTCCTCCAGGGCGAAGCCTGAGGCTCAGGTGAGGCTCTTGGCGCACCCCTGCTCTCCAAGGGGAAGCCAGCGGTGGGAATGTGCTCGTTCAGAAAATGCTTTCATTAAGAACTGGGGTGCCTTGTTCTGCCCGACACTCTGCAGCCTCCCAGCGTCTGCTCAGAAGTGGGGTGAGCGAGCGTGTTGGCATGGAGATGAGAGCCAGGGGTCCGGGCCATTATGTGACTTTTCTGCAGTGGTAGAAAGCCGGCCTCTGCTTGAACTGTGCAATTTGGTCTTGTTAATAATAATAATGGTGTTCTAAAGTGATTATAATTATGGCAATTTCCATTATTTGCAAAAAAGTGACTCTCATGCGAACACAATAAATCCCACCGGCGACGCTGGGGTCTGTGGCTCTGTTCCTTGCCACGACTTCACAAAAGCTTCCGGGGCTCCTGCTCAGAGGCGTTCTGCGGCTCCCACTAGCGTGCCTGGGATGGGCAGCAACGAGCTTCCTATTAAACACCCGCATGTGAAGAGCGAGCAGGTTCTTGGGGAACACCGCGGGCTTGGCCGCCGCGGCTTGGCGCACAGTGAGCTGGCAGAGTTCGGATTGAAAACAGGCACCGAGCACAGTTTGCCTTTTTCAGAATAACCAGCCAGTGTCCCCAGATTACACTCAGCTGCCCTTGGCAAGGCTGAAGGCCAGGGGGAAGGAATTCGCAGGGACAAACCACGATGGTAAACCCTTGAGGACATGAGAAGGGAAGAGACCGCGGGAGGGAACAGGAGGAGAGAGTGAAGCTCCTTCCAGGGCCAGGCAGCCGCTCCCGACTCCAGGCCCCAGGCAGGAGCCTCAGGGTGCAGGGACAGCGGCTGAGGCCCACCCGGCAACCTGTCGTCCTGGCTTCTTGGGCGCGGGGCACCTGCGGAGCGTTTCACAAACAGCACCTGGTTGGCCCTCGCAACAGCCTGTGAAGTAGGGACAGGGAGTCACCCAGGGTGCCACCGGGCACCCGGGCCGCGGCCCCGGAGCTGCTGGTAGCACAGCTGAAGAGGCACAGACGTGCCCCCCGCGTTTGCTGCTGCCTGTCGTGGAAGTCATGTGGATTCCAAGTTAAACTCTTTGGTGATTCAAAGTCGGGACAGAAAGAAAAACCATCTGTAGAATGACAAAGTTAGCCTGAGCTCATAGGTTTAACTGTGTCCTCCTGCTCCCACCCCTCGCCCCCTAAAAAAGCTGTGTGTCTTTGTCCAGACTTTCTTCTTGTAAGGACACAGGCCACCTGGGACGGTCTGACCTCCTGATAGCCTCAACCGGGGGCAGTGCTGTCAGACAATGTAACAGCAAGTCACTGGGGGCCTCCCTGGTGGCACAAGGGGTTGAGTCTCAGCACTATGAAGCTCTCCGCGGCACTGCGGCCTGAGTTCCATCCCTGGCCAGGGAGCTACCCACAGGGCGCAGCAGACCTCTCCTGACTCCCGCTGCTCCCCTCAGCAGTGTATCTCAGTAGATCTGCCTGTTCTGCTCCCCACTCTGTCTCTGGTGAATCCTCTTACCCCCCGCACCTCTGGCCCGCACCTCTGGCTCTTGGGTGCATAAGTAAATAAATCTTAAAAAAAAAAGGCACGTCGTTGAGTATCAAAAATAAAAATAAAAATGTGGTTTATAAAGCTAGAACTAAAATATGGCCCCTACGTCTGCAAGCGGGTGGGCGCTGGGGATGAAAGCATTCCCAGGCCTCGTGACATTCTGCCGGAGGCGTCACATGCCGTCAGATTTAGACTTTAATGAGTGGGAAAAACAAAAGTGGGAAAAGCCGCCCCCTTGGATCTGTGACTGACTGGGGTGTGGAAGGAGGCGCCCTGGTCTGACCCCAGGTCCTGGCCGGTGGTGACATCACACCCCGGCTTCCCGTCCTCAGCACCCAGTGGCCTTTCATGTTCTTCGTTTCCGGCTCCACGATCCTAAATGACCACAAAAGGGGTGTCTTGGAGCCACAGAAGCGCGTTTCCTCACACTTCTAGAGGTCAGACGTCCACACGCACTCCGCCAGCGGGGCCGGGCCCCCTCCCAGGGCTTAGGGGTATCCTCCCTTGCCGCCTCCAGCGTCGGGGTGCTGCCCGCAGTCCCCCGTGCTCCTGGGCCCTCAGCTGCACCCTTCATTCTCGGCCCCCACCCCGGCCTTCTCCCCTCTGCGTCTGCACACCTCCCTCTCCCCCAGGGCCCACACCCGCGGGTGCGGAGCCAGCCTGGCCCCGGGGAGCATCCTGGCTTCATGAGAGCAATTCGGACGCCACAACTTTGTTTTTTTGGGGGTGCGGTGACCCAGCTTAACCAGGACTCCACTCCAGGCTCCCGTCCAGGGGCTTCCCCGCCTGCTCTCTCTTTGAGGACTTTTAGTTGGAAATCCAAGTGTGACTCCTGCAGGCGCTGGCCTGGCCGGTGCTTCGGGTGGAGCCTGGAGCGAGACAGTGGCCCCT